GTTTTAAAGCGCCCTTCTGTTGCCGCGCTGTTGTCGCGGTGGGGATGACGCGGGGTGATGACATTGCGGCTTTCGCGCCGCGATTTTATCACCGCGATTTTGATGAGCGCGGTTTTGTCGTGCCACGAGCTGTTCTGACAGAGGCTTCCCAAGATCATGAAACAAACTCCTTGTCCTGGCAAACCCCCATTTTATTAATTTACAGTGAATTCTGCTCATTCATCGTCTGGCCTTACTCCCAAGTTGACCCCTGCTCTTTAATTGTTCCCTTCATCTGGCAACTGTGAATGCGCACACTGGAAACAGGCTCGTCTGTCTCACTGATGTCTGACTCTGAAGGCAGCTGATGACTGGCATACGGCTCTGGCCCCCACTCTGCCTCCAACACAGAGCCCTCATCAGAGTCTTCCCCAGACTCCAGGACTGGCCCATGTTCCTCCCCAACCTCCTCGCTGTCCGAGTCTGCAGCCAGCTCTGCTGGCCACTGGTGGGCCACAACAGATACTGCCCTTTATTGTGAAAAACATTTCTTAGCTATGAACCTTCTGCCTTGAGCTGGGGTATGAAAGGCCAAACATCCTGCTGGAATAAATAGCAGAATTGTACCCTGTATGTGCAGATATTTTCCCCTTTTCACAGTGTAGAACCAATGAAATGGGTCTATGAAGATTCTCCATCATCCAGGTCATGGTTGCCCCAAAGTTGCTTTTTCAAGAGGCAACTGGAGTTTCTGGTTTTTCTTTCACTTCTCATCTTGAGGTTTCCTGAAAAAACACCTTTGGGACAACAAAATGGTCTCTCCTGGCCAGAAAGGCTTGTGTTGTTTGTTTTGGAAGTAACAGGGAGATAGGGTAAAGTAGTTAAAACTGGGTACTCCCACTGAAAGTAGGACCAGGACAGACAGAACCTGGGGGCAGTCAAGGGAGGAATTAGCATGGAATCATTACATTCCCACACACAGTTTAAGTCCAACCCTTCTTGAATCCTGTTAACTCTTCTCTAGCACCAATAAAGCATTCACTTTAGTTGACTAGATTCTTATGTAGAGGCATGAGCAGTAAATCAGTTTAACTGGAGCTTATCATGTCCTGATTGTTTGCACCTGGCAGTTTATGGGATATAGAAAGTGTTAAAAAAGAGGAGGGAAAGGACCCCAGCTTTCATCCTTTCTTAAAGAATGTTTGAGTCACAATCATGATATTTTGACTAAAACTACCTATCTTGCCTTTTCCTTAAAATAGTTCAAGCAACCTAGCAGAGGTGGGACAATATAAGCCCTGGGTACATGATTGCTCCCAAACTGGCATGGCTACCACAGGATTATGGATCTAGGGATCAGCCTTAGACAATGGCACTCTGTTTTTACATTAGCTCCCCTGAATCTTTCCCACCTGGCTATTGACTAATCCAAAACTGTATGGATAATAAATGTGTGACTTCTCTTGCTCATTTTGAATGGAAATATTTTTTGTAAAACTGGATAAACCATTTATTAATCCCAATATATTTACAAATATATAAAAACCAGTGGTGAAATCTAAATGTTTTGCCCGCTGGTTCTGCATGCATGCCTTGGTGGGAGTTGCAGGAGGCCGTGGCAGCTGAAAACGGAGCTCAGGAGCCACTTTTAGCAGGCAGAAGCACCATGGGCAAGTCCTTCACTGTTTTAAGAGTGGCCGCATGGGCAGATCTAAGTATCCTGTGGGCCAAATCCAGCCCCCAGGCTTTGAGTTTGACAACTCTGCTTTAGGTCAATAAGTCTAGATGAATCTGCTTTCAGACTTAATGAAATAAAATTTTACCTACAAACTTAAGAACTTTAAAAGATTGTAATAAACAGCACAGAACTAATTAAATTTGATTTTAGAACATTATAAACAGATTAAGGATCCCCATAAATTAGATACAAGATTTTAGAATTATAAAAAATGTAGGAAAGACAATTTCAAAAGCAGGACACTAGAGGGAAGCTTGATTAATGGCTACAGGATGACACAAAGTATAACATTGGAAATACTGAAGGATTATTTTGAAACATGGAATCAAAAGTTAATTTCAACAATGTCAATAGCTTCTATGGATGGAAGTTTATACTTTCAGACTTGCAAGTTTTTGTTAATGTAGTCTTGCAGTACAGTAGAATTAGTTCATCTAATTATGTTTCCGGTCTGGTAGAAAAGGGAGGGCTGACATAAGGAGCATGGCCACCAGTATATATTATGAAATACTCTGTCCACCTAATGGGAAGACTGAACTCATTGGAAAAGACCCTGATTTTGGGAAATATTAAATGCAAAAAGAAAAGGGATAGCAGAGGATAAGATGGCTAGTGTCAGTGACATGATGAACATGAATTTCGACAACTCTGGGAGACCATGGAGAAC